CCGCACGGGGCGGCAGTGACGGGCGTGACGTAGTCGGAGGAGGATGTACGCCCCTGTCGGCGAGGGCCACGGCAACCAACAATCATCCCTGATCAATCCATGGTGGCTTCATCCGCCAGGTACACACCGTGTTCACCTGTTCACATTGCTTTTATCCCGCGTTCACTCCTTATTTCACTTGCTAGTTGTTGTTCTTTTTTCTTTCTTTTTTTTTCTTCTACCAATCACTTCGCTCTCCCGCTGAGGATTTATACGATCGATTGTCGCGATCCAAGGATTCGCGTAGTGCGTGTAGGGGAAAACGTATGGGATGATTGAACGAATGAAATTGAAGATGATCGATCTCTGTTTATTTCTGTGGTTTGATTGGCAAATTCTGTGTACTCGACGGACAGGTAATTCGTGAACGGTTTGTTGGAATGATTGTGGGTGTTATAGCTGTGATACGCGAATGGTTATCAGGGTTCCTTAGGCGGTTCCCGCTTCTGCGACTGGGGGGGACTTGGCGAAGCATGTTTAGGTTTGACGGAGTTGGAAATTGTGGTTATTTGCAATGGTTCCAATTATTGTGTACACTCTTTTATGTATTTTATCTTTTAATATAGATTGTCAGTATCGTACAGTGTGTTACGAGGAACGATGTTTCGATGAAATTTTGCGGTAGTATCGAAACTTGGAATTCATTCTCCCGGTTAACTACTTTCTCTCCCTCTTGGAAACCCTCTTCCACCTGGTACACGCTTATTAACCGTTCCTTGCGTTCGACGAATAGTTTCATGCGCGTTTTAACGCCCAGTCACCGTTACGTACACTCACAATGACCATACAGCCTCGATGTTTCCTTCCTTTTAATCTTATGCAGCGCATGCACGTGCTACGTGCAGCTTTGCAGTGCGCGTAACGGTGCTCTTCTCGCTGGTAACGTACGCGTTCTTTTGGCGCGTTTCTAAAATGGACACAGTTCAATTTCTTCTGGTTAATGTCCCCTTTTACGTTGTACGGTTCCCGCGGGTTTCTCCGGCGAACGAAAAACCCCACCGAGTCCGATTCCTATTTCTTCCGCCTGAAAGCGGGCTGTCCAAGCTAACGACTTTCGTTCGAGAAACGTAGTTTAATGTAAAAAGAGAAACGGTCGAGAGAAGTCGCGCCAGTTCTCTCTGGACCTTCTACGCTTTTTTTTTTTTTTACGCTTTGTTCTGATTGTCGCCGGTGTGTCGTAACGTACGATTGGAAAATTCTTCTCTTTTGTGTCAACAGATTGATTTCTTTGGATGCTTGCGAGTAGCTGTTGGGTAATTTCGTTGGGAATGATTCGTTGTGTACCTTTAGGCAGCCTTCGTACATGGTTTGATTAATGAAAATCTGGTTCTGTATATTGGGAATCTTTTAGTTTGAAAAATTTCACCGCGGAAGGATTAATGTAGTAACAAAAATTTTGTTATAATGAAGCGTTACTATTGAACGATAAGAGAAGCTTAAAAAAAAAATTGAAACTTATCTTAGGACTTAACTAGCTGCAATTTAACCCTTTCTTGATAGAATTACTTTCTTCTAAGAATTTGTTATTTATCTGTAATGGATACTAAATTCAGCTCAATTTTTGTTCGCGTATACTCAAGTGGAACACACGAGTCCCACTAATCACGAAAGGCTTAAATTGAAATCCTTTGAAATAATGAGAGAGACTCGTTATACAGATTTTAGTCAACATACGAAAAAAACGATTATATTAGTAACAAAATTAATTTTAATTCCAACTGTAGTTTTAATTTATACAACTGAAGATTGCCAAATATATAATCTACTAGTTTTACTTATCTGACACGGTATAAAACAATAAACAGGTATTTAGCGCTTATACGCATAGCCAGTAAAAGGATCACAAGTTAAAGGGTTAGAAGGATGGAACGAGCACACGTAGAATAGAAGAAAGACACGAAACGTTGAAACGTAAAATCACAGTCCGTTTGTTGGCACTGGAATACACGAGAGGAACAACTCTCGTCGACAGAGAGAACGAAATTCCATTGCTCAGGGCTGTTTGCTCCTTGTTTTCACGCCGGATTCCCGCGCTTCTTCACTGTGAATCGCACCAATTTCGCCTTCACGCGTTTTCACATACCAGTTCCACGCTCGATTTTGTCGCCGTTTCCCGCGTCCTCGTGGCACCGATTCTCGCGCTTTACGCCTCCGTGAAGCGGCAAACAGTCGTAAAATACGCGGCTGTCACGTCAATAGCCCAATCGACACGTATCGTGAACTTGTGCACGTGCAACCCCTTCGTTTCGTTCAATTTGCCAACGTGCTCACGCGTGAACGATACTTTTCTGCATTTCGAGCACATTCGGGAGTACTTAGCAAGATTTCAGATCAATGAACTTGCAAATTACCGTTTCGTTGTTCGGAGGTCTAAATTGCAACTTGAAATTTCGAAGTTCTCGTTGATTTTATGTGGTGCCGACGATACTTTTCTGAGTTTTGAGCACATTCAGAGGTACTTAGGAAGATTTCAGATTAATTCAGTTGCAAATTACTGTTCCGTTATTCGGAGGTCTAATTTGGCAATTTGTTTAATTTCATGTGGCACCGAGGATAGTTTTGTGCATTTCGAGCACATTGAGAAGTACTTAGGAAGATTTCAGATTAATGCATTTACAAATTGTATTTCGTTATTCAGAGGTCTAAATTGGAACTTAAAGTTTGGAAATTTTCTTAATTTCACGTGACACTGACGATATTTTTGTGCATTTCGGGCACATTGAGAAGTGCTTAGGAAGATCTCAGATCGATGAACTTGCAAATTATCGTATCATTATTCAAAAGTCTAAATTATAACTTGAAATTTCGAATTTTTCTTAATTTCATATATTGCTTGTGAAATTTTTATAGCAATACGTATCCTCACATAATCGACGTCTAAATTATCCCTTGAAATTTTCATAAGTGAAAATTTGAAGTTTCCTTCGGTGTTACGTGACATCGAATCTATCTGAAGTATTTCTTCAACAAATTTTTTTTATTTTTCCAAACTTCGAAATGCTAACATTTTGGTACATTTTCGTGCATATCGCAAGATCGTTGTCGCATACACCGGTAGCATATGTTTGGTCGGGAGCCCGTGAACAATCGTCGGGGGACAGTTAACTAATCGCGGTGCCAACGAAATAAATTGTGCCCGTGTTGCGTATCAAGATCAGCAGGACCCTGCATCGATTTGTAAGAATAACGGCAGAGACTCTCTGAGATCTCGTTTTCGATGAGAAAACACCTGCTCGTGCAGTATTAACAACATGTCCTATTCATTTACTCCTACATATTTATTTACTTTTAACTATCTTAACACGTTAAGCGCCGTGTCAGTCACCGGTGACTGACAGCATACTTTTCGTTCGGGCCGCGTCAGTCACTGTTGACTGACGATATACAATTTATAAAATTATATTCTTCTATCAATACATTTTAAATAATTTGGAAATCATAAAAGAATGTATCTAAATATTACTTGTTACCAGAAGGAAATTTTAACGAGTATTATTAAAACACATGCAGTCTTATCGCAACCTTACACAGATCTCGGTGAAATCGGATATCGCGGGCTAAACGGAAAGGAAGACAAAACAGGCTTGCCGCTTAACCATCTCGATACTCACTTGGCAAAACTAACAAAAAAATTGTACAATTTACACGCGAATAAATAATACCTGACAGATTTCGCTGTAATTAATATTTATTTTTCGACTAATACAGCGATTATTTGATTTCTTTCGTTCTTTCTTTTTTTGAGCAAACATCATTTTTTCTCCCCCTCGAGAGATCGTTTCTTCTTCGTATTACGAGCGCGTTTGCATTTTCAGCCCGAAATTTTCATCAGACGAAACCCTTTCTCTGCATTTTCCCAACCCTTCGGCAATTATTACCGGGATTCAGGATTCACGCAAATCTCGTCTTTCTCTGTTTCTCGCTTTCTCTTTCATTCAGGGGCGGAAGCTACCGTGGGGGGTAGGGATCGTTGGATAAGGGGGAAACAGTGCTGCGGTAGGCATCGTTGGCTGCAGTATTGACTATACTTCAGGGCCAGCTCTTTCGTAGAATGTATTTTCTACAACGTTATCGCCCTTCATGCTATGCCGCGCCGCTTCCTCCTCTGACGCAACGCCGCCGCGAGCCTCCTCGAATTTCGATGGGGTGAAAGCGGTGGAACGCCTAATTGCGTTTTTGCAAAGATTTCCTCGCTGATTCAACGATATAAGCCGCAATATACACCCGCCGCTCATAAGTATTTGCTCGTCTACTTCATTTTCTTTATTCGGAGATAAAGTGATACAGGTTTCGAAAGAATTATGTACTCTTTTTTTTTTTCTCTTTTTCGTCCAGCAACGGTGTGCCAGTGAAATTATCTTATCGATTCCTCCGGTCGAAAAAGAGACCTCCAGTCCTCTCCGACAGTTTCACCTACGTTGCTGAACACGCTCGTTCGTTCGTTCACCGTGGAACAGAAAAGAAACACGTCGCGTGGAAGAGGAAGAGCCGACCAGCAGCAGTAGCAGTAGCAGCAGAAAAGAAAGGAAGAAGAAGAAGAAGAAAGAAGGGGAAAAAAACGTTGATCGCACTCGCCCTTTGCAACGTCAGCCCTGGCCGACGCGGCGCGGCGCGGCGATGCCGCCCTCGTAGCGAGGACTTTCCAGCGAAAGTGATGGCTGTGGTGGCTGGCCGGTTGCCTGCGTAGGAAAACCAAGTCTGGGGGTGGTTGTGCGTCGCTCGACATCGCAGGGCGGCTTTGCTCTGTTCCTCCACCTTGAAACGCGCGCTCTCATAGTCCACGGTGGGGGTGGACGAAGAGGGGAAGATAGGGGGCACCGGTAACCTTGCAACCCTCTTGCGTACGTGGAGGAAGGGGAAGTGACAGGAATCCCGGGAGGAGCGGTGGGTTATGGGTTGAAGGCAGTCGGGGGTGCAGCCGCACGGGGCGGCAGTGACGGGCGTGACGTAGTCGGAGGAGGATGTACGCCCCTGTCGGCGAGGGCCACGGCAACCAACAATCATCCCTGATCAATCCATGGTGGCTTCATCCGCCAGGTACACACCGTGTTCACCTGTTCACATTGCTTTTATCCCGCGTTCACTCCTTATTTCACTTGCTAGTTGTTGTTCTTTTTTCTTTCTTTTTTTTTCTTCTACCAATCACTTCGCTCTCCCGCTGAGGATTTATACGATCGATTGTCGCGATCCAAGGATTCGCGTAGTGCGTGTAGGGGAAAACGTATGGGATGATTGAACGAATGAAATTGAAGATGATCGATCTCTGTTTATTTCTGTGGTTTGATTGGCAAATTCTGTGTACTCGACGGACAGGTAATTCGTGAACGGTTTGTTGGAATGATTGTGGGTGTTATAGCTGTGATACGCGAATGGTTATCAGGGTTCCTTAGGCGGTTCCCGCTTCTGCGACTGGGGGGGACTTGGCGAAGCATGTTTAGGTTTGACGGAGTTGGAAATTGTGGTTATTTGCAATGGTTCCAATTATTGTGTACACTCTTTTATGTATTTTATCTTTTAATATAGATTGTCAGTATCGTACAGTGTGTTACGAGGAACGATGTTTCGATGAAATTTTGCGGTAGTATCGAAACTTGGAATTCATTCTCCCGGTTAACTACTTTCTCTCCCTCTTGGAAACCCTCTTCCACCTGGTACACGCTTATTAACCGTTCCTTGCGTTCGACGAATAGTTTCATGCGCGTTTTAACGCCCAGTCACCGTTACGTACACTCACAATGACCATACAGCCTCGATGTTTCCTTCCTTTTAATCTTATGCAGCGCATGCACGTGCTACGTGCAGCTTTGCAGTGCGCGTAACGGTGCTCTTCTCGCTGGTAACGTACGCGTTCTTTTGGCGCGTTTCTAAAATGGACACAGTTCAATTTCTTCTGGTTAATGTCCCCTTTTACGTTGTACGGTTCCCGCGGGTTTCTCCGGCGAACGAAAAACCCCACCGAGTCCGATTCCTATTTCTTCCGCCTGAAAGCGGGCTGTCCAAGCTAACGACTTTCGTTCGAGAAACGTAGTTTAATGTAAAAAGAGAAACGGTCGAGAGAAGTCGCGCCAGTTCTCTCTGGACCTTCTACGCTTTTTTTTTTTTTTACGCTTTGTTCTGATTGTCGCCGGTGTGTCGTAACGTACGATTGGAAAATTCTTCTCTTTTGTGTCAACAGATTGATTTCTTTGGATGCTTGCGAGTAGCTGTTGGGTAATTTCGTTGGGAATGATTCGTTGTGTACCTTTAGGCAGCCTTCGTACATGGTTTGATTAATGAAAATCTGGTTCTGTATATTGGGAATCTTTTAGTTTGAAAAATTTCACCGCGGAAGGATTAATGTAGTAACAAAAATTTTGTTATAATGAAGCGTTACTATTGAACGATAAGAGAAGCTTAAAAAAAAAATTGAAACTTATCTTAGGACTTAACTAGCTGCAATTTAACCCTTTCTTGATAGAATTACTTTCTTCTAAGAATTTGTTATTTATCTGTAATGGATACTAAATTCAGCTCAATTTTTGTTCGAGTATACTCAAGTGGAACACACGAGTCCCACTAATCACGAAAGGCTTAAATTGAAATCCTTTGAAATAATGAGAGAGACTCGTTATACAGATTTTAGTCAACATACGAAAAAAACGATTATATTAGTAACAAAATTAATTTTAATTCCAACTGTAGTTTTAATTTATACAACTGAAGATTGCCAAATATATAATCTACTAGTTTTACTTATCTGACACGGTATAAAACAATAAACAGGTATTTAGCGCTTATACGCATAGCCAGTAAAAGGATCACAAGTTAAAGGGTTAGAAGGATGGAACGAGCACACGTAGAATAGAAGAAAGACACGAAACGTTGAAACGTAAAATCACAGTCCGTTTGTTGGCACTGGAATACACGAGAGGAACAACTCTCGTCGACAGAGAGAACGAAATTCCATTGCTCAGGGCTGTTTGCTCCTTGTTTTCACGCCGGATTCCCGCGCTTCTTCACTGTGAATCGCACCAATTTCGCCTTCACGCGTTTTCACATACCAGTTCCACGCTCGATTTTGTCGCCGTTTCCCGCGTCCTCGTGGCACCGATTCTCGCGCTTTACGCCTCCGTGAAGCGGCAAACAGTCGTAAAATACGCGGCTGTCACGTCAATAGCCCAATCGACACGTATCGTGAACTTGTGCACGTGCAACCCCTTCGTTTCGTTCAATTTGCCAACGTGCTCACGCGTGAACGATACTTTTCTGCATTTCGAGCACATTCGGGAGTACTTAGCAAGATTTCAGATCAATGAACTTGCAAATTACCGTTTCGTTGTTCGGAGGTCTAAATTGCAACTTGAAATTTCGAAGTTCTCGTTGATTTTATGTGGTGCCGACGATACTTTTCTGAGTTTTGAGCACATTCAGAGGTACTTAGGAAGATTTCAGATTAATTCAGTTGCAAATTACTGTTCCGTTATTCGGAGGTCTAATTTGGCAATTTGTTTAATTTCATGTGGCACCGAGGATAGTTTTGTGCATTTCGAGCACATTGAGAAGTACTTAGGAAGATTTCAGATTAATGCATTTACAAATTGTATTTCGTTATTCAGAGGTCTAAATTGGAACTTAAAGTTTGGAAATTTTCTTAATTTCACGTGACACTGACGATATTTTTGTGCATTTCGGGCACATTGAGAAGTGCTTAGGAAGATCTCAGATCGATGAACTTGCAAATTATCGTATCATTATTCAAAAGTCTAAATTATAACTTGAAATTTCGAATTTTTCTTAATTTCATATATTGCTTGTGAAATTTTTATAGCAATACGTATCCTCACATAATCGACGTCTAAATTATCCCTTGAAATTTTCATAAGTGAAAATTTGAAGTTTCCTTCGGTGTTACGTGACATCGAATCTATCTGAAGTATTTCTTCAACAAATTTTTTTTATTTTTCCAAACTTCGAAATGCTAACATTTTGGTACATTTTCGTGCATATCGCAAGATCGTTGTCGCATACACCGGTAGCATATGTTTGGTCGGGAGCCCGTGAACAATCGTCGGGGGACAGTTAACTAATCGCGGTGCCAACGAAATAAATTGTGCCCGTGTTGCGTATCAAGATCAGCAGGACCCTGCATCGATTTGTAAGAATAACGGCAGAGACTCTCTGAGATCTCGTTTTCGATGAGAAAACACCTGCTCGTGCAGTATTAACAACATGTCCTATTCATTTACTCCTACATATTTATTTACTTTTAACTATCTTAACACGTTAAGCGCCGTGTCAGTCACCGGTGACTGACAGCATACTTTTCGTTCGGGCCGCGTCAGTCACTGTTGACTGACGATATACAATTTATAAAATTATATTCTTCTATCAATACATTTTAAATAATTTGGAAATCATAAAAGAATGTATCTAAATATTACTTGTTACCAGAAGGAAATTTTAACGAGTATTATTAAAACACATGCAGTCTTATCGCAACCTTACACAGATCTCGGTGAAATCGGATATCGCGGGCTAAACGGAAAGGAAGACAAAACAGGCTTGCCGCTTAACCATCTCGATACTCACTTGGCAAAACTAACAAAAAAATTGTACAATTTACACGCGAATAAATAATACCTGACAGATTTCGCTGTAATTAATATTTATTTTTCGACTAATACAGCGATTATTTGATTTCTTTCGTTCTTTCTTTTTTTGAGCAAACATCATTTTTTCTCCCCCTCGAGAGATCGTTTCTTCTTCGTATTACGAGCGCGTTTGCATTTTCAGCCCGAAATTTTCATCAGACGAAACCCTTTCTCTGCATTTTCCCAACCCTTCGGCAATTATTACCGGGATTCAGGATTCACGCAAATCTCGTCTTTCTCTGTTTCTCGCTTTCTCTTTCATTCAGGGGCGGAAGCTACCGTGGGGGGTAGGGATCGTTGGATAAGGGGGAAACAGTGCTGCGGTAGGCATCGTTGGCTGCAGTATTGACTATACTTCAGGGCCAGCTCTTTCGTAGAATGTATTTTCTACAACGTTATCGCCCTTCATGCTATGCCGCGCCGCTTCCTCCTCTGACGCAACGCCGCCGCGAGCCTCCTCGAATTTCGATGGGGTGAAAGCGGTGGAACGCCTAATTGCGTTTTTGCAAAGATTTCCTCGCTGATTCAACGATATAAGCCGCAATATACACCCGCCGCTCATAAGTATTTGCTCGTCTACTTCATTTTCTTTATTCGGAGATAAAGTGATACAGGTTTCGAAAGAATTATGTACTCTTTTTTTTTAATCTGACTTCTTCTTTGGAAACTGATTAAACGAGGTTGTTTATCGAAATGGACGACGTTGTGTACAAATGCAAATACTTGCGAATGGTAGTTATATTCCGCTGAAGTGTAGTTTTTTTTTTTTTTTTTATTTGTGAATTGAAGTTTCAGTTCGACTAATTTGGGTTAAACTGCAAATTGGAGTTGCGTTAATTCAAACTTGATATTTTTAAGAAAGAGGAGTAGAGTTGAAAGTTTCAATTATTGTTTCAAACTACAAGTTGATTAATTCTTTCCTGACTGGATCGTTTCTTTTAAAGAAGTCGTCAGTTATCTACCGATTATTGTGTGAGTGATGAATGCTATATGGAAATGAGTTTTTATTCGAGCACCCGAGAGGACCATATGCGTCTTATTGGTCACGAAATGGTTAATCATTGAGAATTTATAAACAAAAATTTTTCATACCTTCTATCGTGATAATTAACTGTAACAAATTAAAGGCAGTAGTACTTCTCTTACAACAAAAGTGCAAGCTCTTCGTCGATTTAGTTGAGATTGTGAACATTAACCCCTTCACTGCGGCAGATTTAAAAATTATCCTAACTTCAATGCACCCAAAGGGTGGAAACAAAATACCGTATGCACCTTGGCGAGTTGGTCTTTTAAATTACTATTCGTCGAACGAGATCTTTCTTCTCCATGGGATATCTGCTTTCAAAGAAAATGCACATCCTTATCTCGCAGTAACCCGCGCCTTTGACTGATCCGTTGTGCTGGTTA